GCTTCCAACGAACAATGCTACCAAAAACTATGGAATATATCATTCGCTACGCTTCTACTGTCACCTTACTCGTCGTTGCACATTAGTTACTACCTTGCAGTAAACTCGGAGGGTTTACCAATGGATTGTGCCTAATTACATATACCTCCTGGAATCGATCAAGTATTTGAACATTATTGCATTTCCATACCAGTCTTATATTCTGGCACTTCAAATTATTCTCCCCCGTTGCGCTTCAGTAAAATATTTGTTGCATCACCGATAGCGCAACAGAGATTTGAAAAGTTGTGGTATAAGCAACCAGCGGATCCTGAAGTCACTCAGGTGACCGGCTGGTTCTAAGCGTCGGTGCATTCAAAGAGGCGTGAATGAAATTTGCGCAAATTGTGACAAATTTGCCTGTGCAATCAATTTGCCCATAAAAACCACCAAACAGAAGACAAAGTGACATTTATTTATTCTCCAGTATATCTTCACTTCGGATATACTTCTATCATATCGAATATTTTTGCTTGGTATTTCGCTCTCCTTTTTAAAGTAACTAAATGTAAGTGCGCCGTTACTCCGTTGAACAAAGAAAGGTAATAATTTTCGTTTCACCAAAGTGTGCAGGTGTGCTGTGCATGACGGTACGCTAATTGACCTCTTGACTAATCGCTTGGTTTGCATTTGAAAAGTGCTATGTTTAACTAACGTAAAGCAGGCCAAAGTGGTTTGTCCGAGCTGGCTGGGTAAAGGCCACGACATTATGTGATAGGGAATTTTTAACTTACAGCGGCTCAAAATGCTAGAGCATTCTCACTGGCGGGATTAGCGTGACCTGGAGCAAAACTCTTCACCAACAGGTAACCGGCCACCCTCAGGAAGGGCGTCAAAGCGGTAATGCGCACAACCCAATGAAGGAGCTCTAAGGAAAAGAACCTTCTCAAGGTTCTTCTACGGTCCTGGAGATCAAGGGGTGGTAACTGCTGTTCCAAAGAGGATTGCAGCCAGATGCTCTATAAGAGTCATCACTGCCAGCCACAGATACTAACTCTTCCCATGGACAGTGAAATGTGTCGCGTTCAACGGGATTTATACTTGACACTAGCCCTGTAATGTCCGGTAAAGGAGACAACGACTCAATGAAGCTGGGTAGCAGACTCCATACTGGTGGTTCCGCACCAGCCACTGAGGAGCAGCTTGATCGCCAAGTTCCCTATTGGCTGGCTTCTTGTTAGTCGACACCTAATTTCGGATAGGACAAAAGCTTGTCTTGCCCTGAGGGGATGCAAAACATTAACTTCGTATCCGCGGCTGAGTTACAGAGCAATCTAGATAGATGTTCACGACTATCACGTCACTGAGATAGATTGCATGGTTTTGGGTGCTAAAAGTTTGGGTGTCATGATCTTTATCAGGTGGCCATCAACTCGCCATGCTCACGGAAAATGGCCAAAAAATTACACACCAAGGCGGGCTGTGCGAGCCCAAGCCGTGCGATCATCAGCAGTTGCATCAACCAAACAATAAAGATGGAAACTTAGTCAAAATGAGCAGCCAAAAATCTGCAATTGCCGCATGATGTCCGAAATCCAAACTTCCAATAATACTGAGGAGCAAGTTCCGGTGGGGCCTCATCAGAAAATCTACACACCCCTCCCCGAGAATGTTTTAACCGAACTTTTCAAATTGGCTACTGCTTGGCAGATTCCTAGATTGGAACTGCTGAGAATATTGATCTGGTAAGATAGTGAGGGCAGATGCCTGTCGAAGAGCTTTATGGAGAGCACTATGCTTCCGGTGAGTTGAGCTGGCCAATCAGTTGCTTGTGCCAACAGTAGGTTAGGTCACAATGAGTCATACAAAATAAGCCTGGCCGTTCAAACGGCGGCTTGTTGATGGGTATGATACTGCGATTACAATAATAGTGACAAATTAGCACAAAACTTAGATCGCGGACTGATGGAAGCTAATGCATGTCGGGCTAGGCCAGGCAAATGCCAGTGAAATCCTGTATGAATAAGGGTGAGTAGCGGTACGTTACTGAGACTTCACGTTTGGTCAATAAGAATTGGTCGCAAGTTGATTAATCCCGCTTGGTCCTGTCGAATTAGGTATATGATACCGAGGTCAAATGAGTTTGGTGGGAAATCCCTCTAAATATATATTCACCAAAAATGGAGGAGTGTCAACACTGGACATACTGTTATCCACGACCACATTCCGAGGAACAGCAAGCATGAGTACAGAAGTGGGAGCTTCAGCATAAATAATTTGCCAAACGCGGCAAATATCCCATGGATTATCCACTAAATCGGCACAGCTCATCTCCACCCCCAAGGCAGATAACAAAACGGATGGTGATGAGCTTACTAATCTCTTCAAACAAACGGGACTCTAGGGCTTTTCTTCTCGAATGCGCCATAGCCGCCTTGCCAAAAATACACCGGTGGTATGCACAAAGAAAATTTTTGCCCTTATGTCCCACATATCTTGTCGTCCTGCGGGGAATTTTAATTCGTCTCAGACTATTTACAACCTACAATAACCGAACCCTATCACTGATGTGTACATTCCTGTTAGCCTTGGAAAACAAAACCAACAACATCCGCGCAGCTTGTTGCAGACACAGCAAAATCGCAACTGAATTTGTTGCATTAGCATGCTTCAAACAATCAGCTTGTTTCCAGCATCCAGACATGTGAGGTCCTCCAAAAAACTTATCGAATAGGTGGTAAACTCGCGAATCTCCATCGGATGAACTTACCGGAGGACGTCCATCAATTTTGATTTAAATCGGTCAGCAACATTAAGCTGATGATCTGATCCGTCGGCCACTTAACCCCAGCACCATCAGACCAAATACACATCCTTATAAAGGATTCTCCTCCCCTCTGAGTTCATCCAACTTGAGGCCAGCAAAAACAGACTGTCAACAAACAAGTCTCACGAATAAAGGACCTAATTGGAACCTTATCTTTATGCACAAACCAATCCCAAACTCCTCTTCATGAGTGCAACTATACGCCGCCAGAAGCGAAAGTCATTGAAAGGATGATCCGCCTAAGAAAACCAACCGCCTAATAGCTCACTATCCAAAAGAATCGTTACTCATATTATAGGACATTCCTTGTATGATCGATCCATCACAAATCAACCAACGTCGAAATTAAGCGCAGAAAATTTTATGCTCAGCTACCCATCTGTTCAACGTACAGCATCGACTATTGACAGAAAGCAGTTTCGCTCATTCATAGGACCATCACAGAGTAGAAGCGTGACCAAGCAATTACAAAAATATACAATACTGTCCATCATGCTCACGTTCGTTTCCGTTCTCTGTATAGTTATACGAAATGAATGTGACAAGATTAGGGGGGGGAAAGTTAAAAAAAGAGCAAGAGTAACAGAAAAATAATAGCCGGTTACAAGTATATCAGCCTCACTAGCATATTATGCATTCTAAAACCGACCACCCTATCTGCCAACAACTTGATATCCCCAGATCATCACGGATTCCTCGGGAAACATTCTTGCGTGGTAAACATACTGGTATTTATGGATAGCCTAACCAAGGCTAAGGACGACAGACTCATTAAAAACGCCATATTTTTCAACTCCTCCAAAGTATCTGACGGAGTCCGACATGTCTGGCTGCTGCACAAGCTTTAGTCGCGGGAGATGTAAGAGGGTATTCTATGCTTGATAAAAGCGTTCCCATCTGGCAGAACATCTTGAGTGACAGAAGACTCGGCCTGCTCTTTACTGGCGCCAGCCTCCCTTGGATTTCCTAGGGGCTCTGTTTTGGGACCACATCCGTTTCTGATCTACGTCAACGACCTTCCAAATGTTCTTGCAAGTGCATGTCTACTTTTGCGGACGACTTGATATCCTGGGATCAAAATACTGATGCCCTCCAAATAGACAGACGTTGCAAAGAAATGGCCGTTGGACTGGCACCTTCCTCTGATTGACGACAAGCGCTTCCTAAATGTCATGCGGAAGGGGCCCAATGAACGTCTTTGTCGTGCACCGTGTGGATGGACCGGAAGACATTACGGGGATATATACTGAAAGGACTTAGGTAAATGGATCTCCTCAGCAACATTTTCTTCTCGCTGCACCATGATAAGTAGGCTCTAACGGTATTCGCAGTCCCGCGGATGATTGAGCAAACCCTCCCTCGCATTACTCGCATAGATTTCCGGAAACTCTATAGAGCCTCCGTCAGACCGCTTCTTGACCAGGACGCTTCTTCCACTCAGGACGTAAGAAAGACGCAAGTATCGTTGGCCATGTCAAACGAGGTGCAAAGAAAATGGGCACCTGCCGTAGACCCGTTGACTATCAAACGCGTTTCACGAGGCTGGACCTCTTTCCGTGGATTATTTTCGCTTCCGAGGGGACGTAATACTCATTTATGCCCTGCTTGAAAAATGCTTGGACAACTGTTTTTCATTATTGGTCCAGCTAACACACGGCCTTGACATGGTAAGATGTTCAATCTCAGAGCGAACTTGGGCAAAATTTTTCCTCATTTCGGGAAGTTGCCACGGGCAACGGCCTTCTTCAGACGGTTGTTCACGCTTAATCTCTCACCCAGATCAAAGCACTACTAGAAGCTTCCTACGCGAATCCTCACTCTGACAAGCCTACCACTACTCGCTGAGAACTTGAAGAGCAGTGCTAAAATTTTTTTCGCTTATCGCATCCGCTGAACGACAAGGACGAAGTCACCCGGCGAACCTTGGGCGGAGGCCTTAATCCTATGCATCAATCCGTGAATGTACACTTACCTAATTTATGCGAAAGGCACCAACCCCCACTGCAAACTTCATAGTCCAAATAGGAAAGCTAAGGGTCATACCACAGTCAACCATTTTACTGCACTAATGTCCCGACTCTCTCCCCACTCGACACAGATTCACAAGCATCCTGTGAAACCATTGCAACCGTCATCGGCTCTAGGCCCTTGCTGCCACCTCAACCAATCAGCGCCCAGACCTGCATCGCAATCTATTTGGGCGTGGGCTATTCGCTCCCGCCGTTTTTCTCCGAGTATGCCACGGGACAAGGCTCTGTGTGATATTCTTGATTCTGCCTTTTATAAGTCTCCATATCGTGACCGTAGAAATGATGTAAGTCATTGGTGTAAATTTTCAATCGCGCTTCGTGACTCTTCATTAGGTTCCGTAGTCTGTTTTCCCAGCTCACCGTTGATTGTGGTGTGGAAAGCAAGATTAAAGTCATCTTCTGGATATACTAGGAGTACCAGCACCCGCGGGGGTATAGGTCACCCAAAGGACTCATGGATGCAGTGTGTGGCATATAACCTGCCAGTTTTAATGTGTTCCGCGTGACAATTCGAACCGTAGGTAAGGCAAATCCACGAGGGAGCGAGAATTCCAGGTCTTCACTGTTCATACGAAGGGCAGCAAGTCAACGTCAATGCATCATCCTCAGGCTCGAAAAACTCAAAGGACCTGGATTTTGCACCTAGAGAGTATATTCGTACATGATTGAATAAGACTGACTGCTGTAGGAACCTTTCGGTGCTTGGGTGCTATACCACCCGAAGGGAGCACGATGACTAGAATTCTGTCGAGTCACTCAGGTCTATACAGGATCAGTCGTGATCCTGAGTCGTTCCTTCGGGCCATATTAAATATCAGCAGCAGCTCGAGCGAATTCAAAGGGAGGCAGCGAAGATGACACGTTCCCGCACCGTTCTTTGAAACCAATGCTTGGGGATATTGATCCTTAGCCAAATGAATCCGCCGCATGACATATAGTCCTTTATTTGTTTCCTGACCACCCCAGACCACCATACCTTCTGGTACTCCGCAGCTGAGAACGGAAGACATCCAGGCGACGCCTGCAAATCTTCCTCCGGCAGCACCGTTCCTTCCCACCTTTGTCAACTACTGGTACGGAATTTCTCCCAAGTTAGTCAATTGCAGGAACACGAGTCCCTTTAAAATAGGGGTTGACACGTCGCTGAGACTGCCCTTCAATGGGTAGGTTAGGGTTGAAAAGCGTCAGGTCCTAATAACTTTATATACGGTTTATCACTGTGGTTCTACATGAGGCACAAATATTCGGATTACTTGCTGCTTTTCATGACAAATGGTTTCACTTTCGTCTTGGCCTCCTGCTTTTCGTGGACGATTGACAGACTCGGCCTTGTTCCTGACTATCCGCTGTTTAGTTGTTGGTGAGCCACGCAGTTGTCCAATTCTCATAATGATTGAGCTTGTCCAACCAAGGCGTGGTTGACTGACATAGATTACCGTACAACCCTGGGTTTTCTTGTTCATTTTTGAGGAAAGCGTGTCTCATAAACGTGGTTCTGTTTGCCGTGACGGTTCTTCATGCCGCAAGCATTTCGGGTCTAGAGCCGGTGAACGGCGTTGGGAGAGCTCGTGAGTCAGTATCCGCTGGGTTGTTTTCACTGTAAACTTACCTCCCCTCATGCACGTGTGAGTTATAATTTTCGGCGAAACACTGGGAATGCACAATTGAGCTATGGAGTGCATGAAGGACAGTAATCAAATCCGTCCAAAACGTGGCCGGTGTGGTCGACATGGTCAGGTATCTTCTCGTTCACAGGGACATCGTTGCAGACAGTGGGGGCGTCGTAAGCTCTAAACGAGACATCTTGATGGCCTTAAGAGCGGTAACACGAAATTTCCCCCATACAAGGCTATGCTGTTCGTAATTCTGAGTTTGCGACCGAATATGGAGAACCGCCACGCAAGCTTTCTCTAATTCGTCTGAGATTCTTGAGGTCGTAAAATCGGGGAACCGTGTCCTTGAGGGCAAAACACCACCCGACATGTCTCACTGTCCACGAAGGCGATGGTATATTCATATCAAGCTTCTACTGTGCTTGATGATAGAATAATAATCGCTTAGCTGTAAAATTATTTCGGTGCATGGCGGCCATGACTCGGAGGAAACACGACGGCTGATGCACTGCCAAGTCTAGAGTGGAGCAGTGGAGATGCCGTGGTTGGGCGCGAACCATGGACCTACCGGTCAGTAAGTTTGAGCCTTAACAACAGCTTTCTCAAGCTCATTCCTCTGGTGGTAGATGCGATATATCAATGGGTTGCCAAATTTGCGACCAATGATCCTCCAGGCTTTCGGCCGTTCATCCACAGCCAGGGCGAAACACAATCTCGTTCCCATGAGTTGATCAATATCACTAGTCGACCATACCGCACATGATACTGTTGGGTTGCACCCTGAATACAACGTCTGCTAGAGTGATTCATAGTGATTGTCGTTTGATGTTCTTGTAACCCCTCTGAAGATCAGAATCGCAGCTCGTGTTATTCTCCATTTTTTATTCCCCTTACATTGAAAGTCGTCTATAGTGGGCTTGTTGGACTGCCTGCTAGGACTCCAGCTTTCAAAAGCTCAGGGTGCATAATTTCCATTTCGGCTGTCGGGTTGCGTTGAAGAAGCGATAACTCGCGTTTGATTTCTGGCGGCTGGTGTCGACCTTCCATTTCGATCAGTGGGACTTTTACAGACTCATTTTAGTGAAGACTACCAGGATTTTTCTTCGAAATTTTCAGCCCATCGCCTGAGACAACCAACCATCATTATTGGAGACAGCACCAACAGTGTTGACACTGACCATTTGCTGCCGTACAACCATGAAGTTTATTTGCTTAATCATTGGAACCGAAAAGAGGAGAGAAGAGTGAACGAGAGAGGGACCCGGTACTTGCTTAATGCAAACACTAAAGTACCTGCACCTCCAGGCGCTCAATCAGACGACACGAAAGTAAACCAACAGCACGAACGTCAGCGATATCGATCAGCTGCCAGTTTGGCAACGCCTCCAGCCAAGCCTCTTCCCGGGAACCCATCCTAGAATGCTAACCCCGCAAACAATAACTAACTCTTCGTAATCTCTGTCACACTCTTCTGACAAGCCATACGTTGTCCACGCGGTTTGTACCACTCTGAAGGGATCGCAGTGAGCAACACTTATCTTGGTAGATGATGATGCGGCATCCGTAGTAGACGGCCGACCCACCACAGGTGCTGATGCTGGATAGTTTCCCTACTTAAGTACCCATTGCATAACCCAATAACCGTTCCTTTAATACATCGTGACAAATCTGTGGACGCCGTACAACATCAGCGAAGCCTCTGAGGCAGTGGTAGTCAAAATCCCGAAGACATCTCATATCACCCGCACGCAGCGGCCTTACAAGAATACAACCATTACTATAGTTTGGTACGCGTGACCTTTCAGGCCTGGCGATATGGCATTTTGACGCCGGAATTAACCCGAATCGTCAAGTGGGCTTTCAAGACTCATCACCAAACATTCCATCCGATTTAATGTAATTGCCGGGGTGTGTAAAGCTCTCCACAACCTTCCCTCAGTTGCAAGGGACATCTTCAGAAACTCTACGTTCTGAAGCTTGACTTTGCATTTTGTGGGTGTAAGGTTCATGCCGAAAGATGGTCTGACGGTAGTCAGTTTATTCAGCAGAGCTTGTGCTCGGCCGCCGTCTTCCATGTTTGGGATGTTGTGGTGTATCCTCCAGATCGATCATTTGCAACCATTTGAACATTGGGGTTTTGAAGGCCTTCCCATGTTAGCCTAATTATTCCATAAGTGAAGCTGAACAAGAGTGGAGCGAGAGGACGTGCTTGTCGGATCTTCTTTTTTGTGGGTAAGCTTGTAGATAGTTCACCATATACGCTCCAAGAAGTCAGCAAATCAAATAGCTCTCATCTGCTGGCTCTCTAACCGTCGTTCCATATCTGTGACAAACCAAGTAAAATGAACTAAGGTAGCCCTCCATGGTTAACCCAGAGTATCTGATCTACGGTGTGCTTTCAATGTCTATGTTATCCGTTAAATCCGGCAACAGATATATCCTGCTGACGTTTCGTTTCCCCTTACTGTATGTGTGTGTTGTGCCCTCGAACTATAAACATAAGTCCCAACTTCGGTCTTGCACTTCATATTACCTAGAATGAGCTCAGATATGTCACTAATCGGGTTTCTGATGAACCTGATGCAGTGGCTGGCGGCTCAAAGGCGACTATTCACTGGGATCCAGTCCAGTAAGGTGCTTTCGGCCTTAAGACTGAGCACGACCGAATTGGAGTTTTGCATCCGTGTTTTAGAGAAGGAAAACAGTTTCAGCGAGGGGTGTCTGTTTTCCAATTAGATATAGAGTGCAGACGTTGAAGGCTGCAACGTGGATCAGCTCTTTCGAGGTTAATAAGTGATTATTTTGGTTTTTTTCTGGACCATTACCCCAGAATGTCAACGATTGCTTAACCTGAAGCATGACACGGCGATGGTCCAACTTCGGGGTCATCACGATTACCAAGTTCATGCTATCCATCAAGCTAAGCAACAGTCTGGCCCTGTCAATTCCAGCTCGACGAAATCGACCTCACAGTATTCTGGTGCGAAGCAAAACAAAGGCCCAAAGAAGACATCACCTTCACAATGTTGGCATTGTGGAGCCTGGCACTTCGTCAGGTTCTATCCCTACAAGTAGCATCGGTGCCGCCGATGTAAGTCCGTGGGACACAAAGATGGGTATTATCAGTCACGGACGTATACGGCCTCTGGTGCTTCAAAGCCGTCGTCATGCGTCCGTCTCAAACCGAAATCGAATCCTGTTGGCTCCTCTCTCAGTATGCTGGCTACTTTCCATATCAACACCTCAGGTCACGGAAAGTATCTCACAGTCACCGTCAATGGTCATCCAGTCCGTCTGCAGTTGGACACTGCGTCGGACATTACCATCATTTCGGGGAAGCTTTGGCGCAGGCTGGGTCAACCTCCGACCAGACAAGCCGCTCGAACTGCTATCAGTGCCTGCGGTGAAGAGTTGAAACTCACGGATGCGCTCCAATGCTGTGTATCTTTTTTGGGGGAGGGGAAGGGGCTACATTCGTGGGGTCGTGTTATGTAACGGCAGCTGAGCTGAACTTATTGGGTCTTGATTAGTTCGGTCGCTTGGGGTTAGCCGACATTCCAATCAGTGTCATTTGCAATGCAGTTCAGTCTCCCATGGCGCATCCAGATCATACATCCGATTTCCAGTTGTTTGCCAATACTGTCTCGGTCAGTGCGCTGCGACACAAGCAGTCCTCCACCTTTTGCCAGGTGCTACGCCAATCTCCCGTCCGAAGAGACCAGTCCCGCACGCTTCCCTCTCACTGGTAGATGCCGAGCTTCAACGGCTGGAACAACAAGGCGTTCTGTCCCCTGTACCCTACTTCGCCTGGGCAGCGCCGATCGCGTGGTGAAGAAACCCATCCTCATATGTGCTGGTTTCTCAACGGATCTAAGTGCCGCTCTCCAGCAGCACCACCATCCACTACCAGTGCCCGACGATCCATTCACTGTTCTGAACGGTGGAAAGTTCTTCGCGAAAATCGACCTTGCTGAAGCCTATCTTCAAATTGAAGCCGCACCGGAATCACGCCCACTGTTGACAATCAACACACACCGCTGGTTGTATCAATACACCCGTCTCCCGTTTGGCGTCAGAACTGCCCCGGTAATTTTCCAGCAGTTAATGGGTACCATGCTTTCTGGCATTCCGGGTGTGGTCGCATATGTGTCACCTCCTAAGGATGTCCCATCGTTACACTCCTTTCTGGGGTTAATCAGCTATTATCCGGCATTCTTGCTTTCACTACACGACATTCGATCCCCACTAAATCAGTTTCTTGGAAAGGACGTCCCCTGGCGTTGGTCAGAGGAATGCGAGGAAGCATTCTTCAGGCTGAAGGTGGTGTCTTCTTTGGGCCTTTGTTTTGCTTCGCACCAGAATACTGTGAGGTCGATTTCGTCGAGCTGGAATTGACAGGGCTAGGTTGTGTCACTTCGAGGCAGTACACGCCAACCTATTTGGGCATACAGGTCTATGCAGGAAGTTGTCGCTTGGGTTCACCGCTCTTTTACGCTTTCAGTCATTTCTCTAAATGTCATCATTGATAAGCTGACTGAAGAGTGTATGGCTGCCTTTGGATCTGATCATTGCCTCCGAAACATGGACCAGGTGTGCTGGGAACATCACATTAGCAGTGATGGGGTTCGCCAGATGGCTTTAGGAAAAAGCAGCCGCTCTACGATTAATGCGTTGCTCACGCTTCGTACGTTACGTTGGTTAGGATATACACTGTGCCAGAAACCCTTCGCCCAGCCGTTTGCTAAGTGGAAGCGACCGAGAGGTGGGTAATTTATGACCTGGCAACGAAATATGTAAACGCTAATTATTAAACTCAGTCTAGTCGACAGCTGCCACCTCCATTGATGGGGACCTTGGAACTCAATCCACCAATGGTTAGTGACGCTGTCAGACATGGCTCAGTCACACAGTCAGTGGGGCTCCCGCCTCAAGGCCGTCTAGTTCAATGCGTAGCTTTCCTTTTTTCCGAATTTACTGGACATACCATTGCCTCCAACGCTTGTCTGTATCTCACCTGTTATCCTATTTTCCGGTGACCGAAGCTAGAACCCACGTACTCTTGGTGCATGGTTTACGGCTGACAAACTGCACTGAACTGGAGCGTTCACATACATTGAGTATGCACACAATACACCTCTTTGGTTCAGATCTTTCGGAGTTTCAAACCACTTTAAATACTCTAAATAACTGCCGCGCGGTGCGATATATGTTCTACACTTGAAAATTGTGAAGTATTCATGCAATGCTGGCTGGGTTCAGACTCGGAGGGTTTTAACAGGAAGAACTCTACTAGGGTGGGTGATATACTCTCGCCTAGTAGGTTACGCTGGTTTGGAGATGTATTGCATATGTCGGAGGGCCGCGTATCTCTGAAAGCTCTTGGGCAGCCGTATGTGGACAGAAACAACAGTCTGTAACCTTAAAATGAAATGTGAGTGTGCAAACTCAATTGGACTGATAACTATCGCCTTCCTGAATGGAGATCTCAGGACTGAACTTTTTTCAATGCCATCACTTTCAGTCAGTAGCCGCCTAGTTTTCTATTTGGTCCGACGAGTAGGATGATTCCACATAAACTTATCAATTATACTATCGCTTTGCTACCTCTTCCGTCACTCCATTTTTCGGTGGCTAGAACAATCTCTACCTTGCTACATGCTGCATAGCTGATAGACTGAATTGAACTGTTAGCTAAGCATGTTCGGATCTATAGAATCCCAGTCACACTCGAGTATACAGAGATTTTCCACGTGCCCCTTTTTCAAGTTTCAGGACGTTGTCCACAAACAACGAACCCACCTGTTAGTTTTCATAGCTGCTGAGTTTGATTTATGTTTCCTGGTCTTACATCCGGCTGGATTCCAGGAACATTGTTTACTAATTACTACTACTAAATCCCTCACGAGGATCGGTAGTCAGTCAGATAAAACCTCCAACTATTCATCAGTAGTAGGGCGACTGGATTCGTCAGCAGCTACTTAGACCAAGTATCACACGTAACTACTCTTAGCGTGCTATTTTATGCATGCACCAACAGTTGTTCGTGTACTCTAGATAATCTACAACGTTCTATTCCGATTCTCATGATACCAGGCGTCATCGAAACAGCTTCAACGTGCACTGCGACAATCAACCACACTGTACGTCGGAAATCTATCATTCTACACCCGAGAGGAGCAAATTTGGGAACTTTTCAGTAGAGCTGGCGAGATCAAGCGTGTTATTATGGGCTTACATAGATTTCATAAAACTCCGTGTGGCTTCTGTTTTGTCGAATACATGACACGTGAGGGCGCAGAGATGGCAATGCGTTATGTCAATCGTACTCGCTTGGATGACCGAGTTATCCGGACGGACTGGGATGCTGGTTTCGAAAACGGGCGTCAGTATGGACGTGGTCGCACTGGCGGTCAGGTAAGTTTCCCGATTAATATCACTTGAAATGGTTTTCGCACTCTGGAGTGACTACTTTTGACTGGTCCTGTAAGGCTTACTTCAGTAGTAGTCTCTCGAAATCACGCTGTCTGTCCCTTCACGTGGTCTCCCAGAGAAAAGGAATTGTGCTTTGTCCTCGATACCTTCCGTCGGCATAAACTAATAGTTGCAGTTGCAGTTACACTGTGACGAAACTCAGCTTTAAGAACTAACGTCTGAAACAACAATGATCAACGTACTGCGACCTTTTGATCAATTTCTATTTAAATTATGCATCAAACTAAGCTCCTCTGTTCTGTAAGAAAACAAGATCCTCGTACAGTAATCGAGCCTACAGTGCCATCGTTGTCTAGACACTACGCCAGCGAAATTTACAGGTCACGTGGAGTAACGTACAGAACCTCGCTATTGTGTTCCATTTTCCGATTCTTCAGTTTGCATCGCCTCTGCCATCGGAAACGGATCTCAATGAAGTCCCAAGGCCTCTTCCACAAAGATGACCATCAGGGTAGCTTTCATATCCCAAGTTCTCCAGCCTTTACTCACCATCCGCTGCCAGCCTATTGTAGTAAATCCTTCATGAAATGGCCTGTAAACGAGTACCACCGAACCCCACTTCGGCGCAACTACCTGGTGAAGCTAACAGTATTGCAAATGCATGAGCTACCGTGCATCTCGAAGGAAGCACGAACGCTGACACCGCTTTGCCATTCGGTCCCACCTACCACGATCCACTACGCTTGCCTATATCACCCGGATCATGACACGATAAAACTTCATGAGCGAAAGTATATGCTAATATAGGAACCGCGTCTCAATTTCTTTGTATACCGTATGTCATCAGTACTTTACCAAAAGGATGTTTTGGACGCCAGCACCTATAGAATCTTAGCAACATGTTGAAGCACTTTGGTTTTAGAACCCATGAAGAAATGTCCCAAGCTTGGAACAGCCAACCAGCACTAAGCCAAATGAAAAGAACCCTGTCACTTTGGAATTGATAACTGAAGCGCTAAGAGTTACCAATAAACAGACCAGCGAAATTAATGGAGAAACCTCAACGAAGTTAAAAGACAGTGATCCTTTCGTAAAATCTAGCCCATAAAAATCGGCCAAAGTAATTCCCATGTTGAAATGTTTCACCTTTAGGAGTTTCCCATTTCTTCACTACAGGACCGAGTTGCTGCTCGAATCATTAGTGTCTTACGGTCAAACTCCAAAAATAGGGGCTAACTGGACAATGAAACTAGACAATGCCGTGTGGATAGCGTCGAAAACTTGCAGAGTATAGCGTCATGTGTCCTGCTCCTTGAAATTCCATGCAGCACCTTTAGCGGGCAACTGAAGGTTTACAAACTGTGCGCTGAATCCCGACTTCTCCACCCATTTATTCCACATGCGGCGTCTACCAAACACTGAGTGACTTGTCACGGGGATAATTTGACTCAGTTCGTTCATTTTTTTGTCAAATTATTCGCTGAGCTTGACATTTTTTGTTGGAAAAAACAACTCAATTCAACCTACATGTGGTAGGCAGTTAAACCTGAACCGTCACTTCTATTTTAATAACAGCTGCATTCAGCCTAGTATATCACACACGTAAGTACGCCCCATAGAGGACCGTCATACACAGGCTATTTGGCCGCCTGTCTCCGGGGACTGTATATCGAATTGGTGTTGACAAGAAACATTTGCGGACTCCCCCATGGTCTGCCCTCTCCTCAAAGTCTTACCTTAGGGATTTTTGTTACATACTCTGTGCGGCAATGTCAGGGTATTGCAAAAATCACAATTCATTATTTTATCTTCGAGTTGCGACCGTTTATCTTATTCACAGAACGGAAAACGTAGCAATTTCGCTGTTTTGTCAAGCCTCAGTCGTCTACTCTTCCATCAAGTTAACGTGAAGTGTCACCTCAAAGTTTTAGTTCCCCGCTACTTACCTTGCTTCCAGGTGCGTGACGAATTTCGTAAAGACTACGACGCAGACCGAGGCGGATATGGAAGACTGGCACAACGGGAGATCGTAGACTAATTTTTTCTAACCATCAATCACTGTACAGTTCCATTTTTCTTCGGTGTATTACAAACACGTGTTTTGGACCTTTGACTGGGCGTCCCTTACCTTTCAAGTTGTTACATCAATTGAAAATGCTGTTCAAGACAGTCTGCAATTTACATGTGTGCGCCTTGTTTTGAAAGCTTTGGGGAAAGTCTGTGACTAGCTGTTTTCGAAATAAAACTACGTAGGGTTGCTAAGCCGACAAAATCACGAGACTTCGTAAGTGATCAGAATTTAAGTGCCGAAATCCGGAGTTTGTTATACGGTTTAAAGCGCTCTCCCAATATCCCCAAAGATTGGTGAGCTACTGTTGGTTTCCAGTCAGAGTGCCTCGCGACCTCCCCGTGTAAGGCTACTCCCCATTCGGAACAAACTACGGATTTGTCATTAACACTGCGGAGCAGCACTCATGCTGCGTGTGACTTCTGCAATGGAACACATCGTTGACACCCTGAACCACACAACAAAAGGCGCCGGCTTGAGAGGCAATCATGCGAACTAAGCAAACGACTAGAACACTGATGCTTCCACCACATCCAAACGCGTCAGCTAGCCGTCTCTTGTCAACGGTTTGTCGGTTGAAGCGTTGTCGGGCAAAACTATCCATTAAGCCTAGTATGCACAAGATGAGTCTTCATCGTAATGTATTTCATAGAGAGCAAACATAATCATCTTTGGACCGCCGAAATAGCAAACATTAGATAGTACAGCAGCTAGTTTTCCAAAATAGGTAATACAGCTGAGCGATTATTATCATGATAAAGAAAATCGAAATGTTTGTGCTTTAGGATCAGACACCGTCGAGACTCAACACAGTCTTTCGCCCGGAGAAGCTCAAGCAGTCAATATGGTTTTTTTCGTCATCAGTGTATTCGTGTTTGAGCATCAGATAAAAGAAGTAAAAATTGACAAAGCCGAAAATATTTTTGTTTACCTGTCTGTGTTAACTGCTCGTCAATCGCCGATCAGATCTTGTCGCAAATTATACTCGAACTGCGATATTTGACATAACTTGATACAAAACGGAAATTGACAATCGAGTGACTTCTACCACGATGATTGTGTAAGGTGCATGGATCACTGCTATTAGATGCTGTTCTTTCCCAATTAAGATACCAAGTGAATAGCACAGGATGAGGGCTTCTAGGAACCCCTTTTAAAAACAATAAAAACAAGTGGACACTAAACGGTGTCAAGACCCAGTTCCCCACATATATGAGGTTGCAACTGAAGCTCCCGACGATTATAGAAATTAGGCACAGGACAACCCATAACTGTTTCACGACAAGAGCTCAATCGAAGATCAGCAGACATGTCGCTAAAAAGCGGTGACCACAAGTTACTAGATTTTTTCGCGAGATTTTCCACTCTTAGACGAGTGAATTTTGGATCATAAAAATATTGCAAGAGACCAAAAACGCACTTCCTCGTGGTGGTCTTCCCTTTGGGTGTTGTGTGCTATCGACAGGTTTGTTTCTCAAATGTGTGGAATGAACGAGTTCCATGTACCAAGTGCGAACAACCGTCCGTTTCTATCATTCTGTCCAGCGCGTTTTGACGGCGTGCAAGATTAAGCGGAAAATGGTAACAAGACATCGCAACAAAGCTTAACCAACGACCAGTTACGTTAAAAGAGAAGGAAACCGGGTATCACTGATTACGAGGGATATACGCCTGATTTTAAATACCCTGTATGATGTGGCTGAGGGATAGCCGCTGCTCAGAGCTGTCGACTTCCAAATGGGCCGAAATCGTAAAAGGTAGAAATATCCACCTTTAACCAAGTGACAGCGATCAGTTACTCAATTGCTCAGCCCCGTGAAACCTGTTTTTCCACCCGTTTATTCAAGTGAAGACAACATTTTATGCATTGACTTAGACAGACGGAGCTCCATGAATGGCAGAATCTGAGTGCGGTGACTGGGTCCGTTAGCCAGCTGAAACATGGAATGGGTGTCAACAGATATAATACAGGTGTTCAGTTGACAACCCTTTCGGTACATAACCGTTACACCTAGAAGGAGCATGGCAGCTGATACATTGCCAGGTTGCCCAAGCAAACAGAAGTCGAAATGCAAAGGTTAGTTTCGACCCAAGGACCTTCCGATCAGTACGTTCGCGCCTTAACCACTGAGCTATTTCGATATAACACAACGTAGATCCAAACCGATAAGCAAACAAATTTATAATTATGAGGATTTATTTCAAATCTGTGAATGAACTGATGACCCCACTGACAGCACGACGATGACCAGAAAGAACTGAGTTAACTGTACTCAACAAGCATCCCACTGGCAACCTTATGGGCTGTGTTCTTATCCACCAACAACTCCACCAGCTTTAAAGCAAACTGCATTGCCGTGCCTGGACCCCGACTGGTCACTAACTTGCCATCGACGACAACACTGTCCTCGCAGTAATTGAAGTCCGGTACAGAGTCCTTGCACGACGGATAGCATGTCAGTTTTTTCCCCAGGGCAATTTTGTGCGACTGCAATCCCATAGGAGCTGCGCAGATAGCTGCCACGTATTTCCCAGCGTCGTAATGCGCGCGCACCAGTTTTCCAACCAAATCTGAGGAGGCCATCGCCTTAGAGCCACCAAGGCCACCGGGCATCACAACCACGTCGTACAACTTAGACGCCACACTTTGCAGAGCTGCGTCCGCCTGTATCCCGACACCGCGACTGCATTTGACTACACCAGAGCCTTGAAGTCCTCCCAAGGTGACTTTTATGCCAGCGCGAGCAAGAACGTCCGCCACAGTTACAGTCTCGAGTTCTTCGGCTCCTTCAGACAAGATAATCAACGCAGACATATTGTAAAACGAAGCCGTGAACCAGAGCACAACTAAAAAAGAGAAAATGGTCAGCGTCAGAACGAAAAATGAAAAGATGGGATAACCTAACTTTGCAGCTAGTCTGATATTTTCAACCCCCCGGTCCTGAGGATATCCCTTATTCTGATTCAGAAGCAGGCAACGTGAGTAGCCCCTACCGTAGCTCGAATTCCGTTCACATAGTGGGTCCTGCTTAAACCCTGACAACTATCACCTGATATCAATCGCCATTCTGTTTGACCTGGAGTCTGGATAACAAGAGTCCGTTGAATGACAGCTGACAAGCATTCAATCGTTATGAGGGGATGAATTTACTGCGGTATGGCTATCTGCGTTCCTTTGAGATCTGCTGAACTAGACGACAGATTGTACGAGTGACACTCGCAGACCCCCATATCAGCTTCGGCATGCGTTTTTCACCTAGGAAGTGCAGCCATGGTTTGCAATGTGCAGTTTATGGGGGATACCTTTTCTCCACAGACACTGCCATAGTGCCTGACGGTCCATAGAATCAAAGGCAGCTCTCAGGTCAAGAAACAACTATTGTTGGTTGCTAGAAGCAGTGTCGGTGCTCCGAAATCTGTTGGAAGGTGAAGATGTGGTCGACACATCCTCTTGCAGGACCGAACCCAGCTTGGTTTTCACGGGTCTGTCTCTACCTGTGTTCCGCGGCCAGAGCGGCCGCGTACCCTTTTTGAAGATAGGGATAAACGTCAATATGCCCCATTCTGCGGGCACCTTCTCTTCGTTCCATATAGCATTAACAGGCTTTGTCAGGTACACCAAAAAAGGGCTTTCCGCCTTCTTTAAACAGTGCCAGATGCAACCGCCCGGTCCTGATGCCTTCTCACTTTTTAGTATGGATAATTCGTGTTTTGTTTGTTCGTCCGACGGGCGATCAAGATTTAGTTCATCCTCCGTAAGCGTTATCTCCACAGACTGTGTTGCAGAAAGCCAGTTGAACTGATTTACCAAGTGTCCGGCCCATCTTTCGATTCGACGTTTTTGCAAGTGAATTGAATGAGCGATCTGTTTCACTCATCGTTTCGCTCACCGTTGTTTTCCTAGACGTCGGAGAGACAGCACCGAACGCCGCTAACATAGCTCCTCTCACCTTTGCCACGCTTCACGTGCTCGCTACCAGTAGTATTGGTTTACTGTAGAGAGTTGTTGGGCTAATTCCAATCGATACTGTTGAGCCATGGTAGTTCTTCGAAGACAATGGATTGGTATGCTTCTCGATGACTTGCGAGGGCCTGAAGGGAAACTAACTGTCAGGCGTGCACGCACGAAGGCGTGATCAGAATCAAATGGTGTGCCCCAGAAGGAACGGCAGTCTTGAATTGTGACTCTCCATCGGTGGTTGATGGCCACGTGGTACAACTGGGTCCATGGCTGATTTCCGGTTGGTGGCCGCCAGGTTACACGGTGCGAACGTTTATTTTAAAAGTTCATACTTGCCAGAAACAGTTCATGATCAGCACACAATTGAAGGAGTCGATATCCGTTGTCTGCGCGACAAGCATCGCCTCCGAATCGACCGCCCAAATGTGATTTCAGTGAGCTCAGACGACCTACTTGAGCATTCAAGTCGCCTGCGAGGATCACAATGTCGATGCTTTTTACCTGACGGATGAGCCCGGATAGCTCTCGATAGAAAGTATCCTTCTCCGCATCAGAACTGCAGTCCGTTGGGGCATAAGCCGACACGACAAACAAGCACCGCTTTTTATGCCACGAGGCATTGAGCTTGATTGAGATGTTCACGTGCTGCTACCAGTAGTATTGGTTTACTGTAGAGAGTTGTTGGGCTAATTCCAATCGATACTGTTGAGCCATGGTAGTTCTTCGAAGACAATGGATTGGTATGCTTCTCGATGACTTGCGAGGGCCTGAAGGGAAACTAACTGTCAGGCGTGCACGCACGAAGGCGTGATCAGAATCAAATGGTGTGCCCCAGAAGGAACGGCAGTCTTGAATTGTGACTCTCCATCGGTGGTTGATGGCCACGTGGTACAACTGGGTCCATGGCTGATTTCCGGTTGGTGGCCGCCAGGTTACACGGTGCGAACGTTTATTTTAAAAGTTCATACTTGCCAGAAACAGTTCATGATCAGCACACAATTGAAGGAGTCGATATCCGTTGTCTGCGCGACAAGCATCGCCTCCGAATCGACCGCCCAAATGTGATTTCAGTGAGCTCAGACGACCTACTTGAGCATTCAAGTCGCCTGCGAGGATCACAATGTCGATGCTTTTTACCTGACGGATGAGCCCGGATAGCTCTCGATAGAAAGTATCCTTCTCCGCATCAGAACTGCAGTCCGTTGGGGCATAAGCCGACACGACAAACAAGCACCGCTTTTTATGCCACGAGGCATTGAGCTTGATTGAGATGGATAAGCAGATTTCACAAAGATGACTGTTCACTGGGATCCAATCCAGCAAAGCGCGTTGAGTTCAGGTGTTGGCCTAACTCGAGGGCACAGGGAATAAGGCATTACTGTCTCATTCCTGATGCGGCTGCACACAGCAGGTGCCTTTTGAGCAGCGCCGAACTCTTGGATTATAAAAGTATTTCGACCGTACTGAATAATGCGCCAGCGGTCACGGTCAACCTTTGATCGATCGGATTGTGCGGTATTTAGGACCGACCGTTTCCAGCCCGTCCTTCATCGGAGGAAGGCAGCATCCCCGCCTCCATTATAACGGACATGCTGGTCGCCTGGGGGAAACACCTCATGCCTACACACTCTCATTGCAGAGCACAGTACAACTTGACCCCCAGACCGCCTGGCAGCACGAATACTCGTAGTGGGTGGGCCTCACGGCTCTTGATCTTGCTCGCCTTGGCCTTCCTGGCATGGTTGCACATCGTGGTACGAGGTTCCTCCTGATACCCGCACACCAACCCGTGTCAGCTCGACTGATCCAAAACCGTTCGCCACCCGCTTGCCAACTCAGGCCTTCTACTCCATTAGCACTCGGATGTTTGAAGATTTTTACCGCCTCATCCATCAGTCTCTGCGACAGACCGTAGTTCTCACCTCAAAACATTTTCTTAATCTATTTTGTGTTCTCTGCCCAGTGCATGTTCTGCCATCGTCTTTCAGTAACGCTCGACGCACATCTGCTTTCCTCGGCCGCATGTTTATTTTCCTGCTGTGCTCTCTGTCAGTCCTATATAGACCTTAGTGAAGTCGTTATACTTGATTTTGTACACAGTCCCAGGTTCTGTTCGCTGAGAGGCAATCCTTCAATTACATCAGTACAGAGCGCAGTGTTTTCCTTCTGAAAGGTTATCCTCTTGTTAGCCGTGTTTAGAATCCTCCGATGTCCCTAGTTTTTAATGGAACAGTAGCACTCCAAATCCCTTTACCTGTTGAGTTTCGCTACCGGTGAAAGGAAGAAGGCCTTCGCTGTGAAGTTATTTATTAGAAAATGCCAACTGAACATTTACAGACTATTGGACATCTTCTTTACAAAAACCGAATATCTATCCTCTCTTTGAACACGTCTTTTCGAACTTTTCTGGATAATCATTGACTGTTGCTCAAATCCAAGCAAATGCTACAAATTGACCGTACAAATTCGGTAATAGGCCTCATTTTTCAAGACGCAAAGCGAACTTATAAGCATGCCTCCCACATCAGTAGTATCACCTTTACACACACCCCTTTAAAGGTCCTTCGCACGCCACTGCTTTTCATTTCCCTCAGTCAGGTCGGCTTCGACAGCGGTTCTACTCGGCCGCTCTTCGGATGTATCAGGCCACTTAAGAAGCTGCGTCCCATTTATTCTTTTCGATCCCCGACCATCTTGAACTGTATAGACGTTCCCCCGGCCCTTGCCATCGACTGCCTACCTTCCTCACCCCAGTCCACTCCCTTCAGGATCCTGTAATATGCACGCTATGAAAACACGAAGGGACAGTGATTCTCTGAAGGCAGGTGTTCACGACAATTTCTGTGGATGGAAAACAGAAATAAAGAGAGCCTTCAGCTGTAGCACCCTTTCGGTGCCTAGCTGCCATGTCACCCGAAGGAATCACGAGGGCTGGGATACTGCCAGGTTGCCCAAGCCTAGACAGGGGAAGCCGAGTGGCGGAGGTCGGATTCGAACCACGGACCTTCCGGTCAGTAAATTCGCGCTCTAACCACTTGGGCCATCTCGCCCCCACAGAAATAAAGCTCATGAGCCAAGACCCAGTAAGCAAGGTTGTACATCACCAATACTTACATATGATTCAATGAAAATGACAGACACCGTATACTACAATCCTAATGATTCTTCCGCTTGACCTTCGCACCTATGGGGAATGTTCGTGTTTAGTCCTTTCCTGAACGGCAGTCAAGTTTTCTCGAGCTCTCCTTCTTTCTTCCTCTAGCTCCTCCTGAGGCAGGCTTGTTGCCGGCCACAACCCAATTTCCTGATCAACCGGAAGGCGCGGATGTCGACCGTACATCAGCATAAAAGGGGACTTGCCTGTGGTTGTTTTTAAGGAAGCACGATAAGCTAGCAACACCATTCGCGAGTTCCCTTCCCAGTCACCTCCTTTCGCCGCCAGCTACTCCTTGATTGTTCAGTTATTACGTCCGGTTAGGACGTTTGTTTGCGAGTAGTATGGTGCCACCGTTAGCCGTCTGATACCCAGCTTCTGCAAGCAATTCCTAAACTCTTCGCTCTCGAAGCAAGGCCCCTGGTCGGTTAGGATCATTTCTGGCACCCCATGGTTGACCACGATGCGATGCATTAACACTCCACTGATAGTCGTCTCCCGTTGATTAGGCAAGGCTGCCGCCTCAATCCACCGCGACAGGTTTTCTGTCATTATCACGATGTGTTGATTCTCGCTGGTTGTCACCGGGAAGCGGTCCATGACGTCAACGGACCACAACTCACCGATTTCTGAGATAGGAATAGGTTTCATATAATGGGTTGCCCCTGTCGTGTCCCCTTTCATCAGTTGGCACCACTTA